AGGAGGATCACTTAAATATACCTTTTAATGTTAATGGGGAGCATCCTTTTTAGGGGGAGACGAGCAATATGGATGTTGGTTTCAAGGATGATCATTTGAATGATAATCATTTCTAGGGGGAGCATAATTATGTCAACATGACAAACATTGGTCAAAATTCTAATTTTCATGACCTGAATGATAATATTTATATTGAAGGATCTGAGAATGATGAAGTGTTTGGGGATGCACAATTAGATTTTGATCCAGCTTATCCACCACTGGAAAAATAGACAAGAAATCATCCAAAAGAGAAAGTAATTGGAAATCCTCAAGATGGAGTATTGATGAGAGCTCAAATTCGTGCTAAGAATGAGGTACTTAATGCTTATCAAGAGTTTTGCATGTTTAATGTTTTCATTTCGAAAATAGAGCCTAACACAGTTAAGTTTGCAATGGAACACTCAAATTGGGTTATAGCAGTGCAATCTGAACTAGCTGAATTCGAAAGAAACAAAGTTTGGAGGTTAATTCCTAAAGTTGAAAATGTTTTGATTGTTGGATTAAAATGGATTTTCAAAAACAACACCAAAAAAGATAGAAATATTGTTCGGAATAAAGCAATACTAGTTTTAAAAGGATATTCGCAACAAGAAGATATTGATTACGAAGACACATTTGCCCCTGTCGCAAGACTCGGGGCTGTTCGAATATTTTTGGCTTATGCAGCTCATAAAGATTTCGATGTTTATCAAATGGATGTGATGTGTGCTTTTCTCAATGGTGAACTTGAAGAAACAGTTTATGTTGAACAACCTCTAGGTTTTGTAAATAAAGAATTTCTTATTCATGTTTATATCTTAGATAAAATTGTTTATGGGTTTAAACAAGCACCAAGAGCCTAGCATGAAACTCTTACCAATTTTTTAAAACAATCGAAATTTAAACAAGGATCAGTTGACCTCACGTTATTTCAAAAGAAATTTGGGAATCATCTAATGCTTGTTCAAATTTATGTTGAAGAGATTATTTTTGGCTCTATTGATCTTGCTTTGTCTAGTGAATTCGAAAATTTGATGAAAAGCCAGTTTGAAATGAGTATGACGGGCAAAATAAATAACTTTTTGGGCTTAAATATCCATCAAACCAGAGAAGGCATTTTCATCAATCAAGAGAAATATACCAAGAATTTTCTCAAAAATATTGGAATGACAAATAGCACGAAGTTAAGAGTACTAATGGAGTTGGAACAAGGCTAACTCCTTTATTAGAAAAACCTGTTGTTGGTCTTACTTTATATAGGAGCATGATCGGTTCATTACTTTATCTAACTGCTAGCCGACCTGATATCATGTTTTATGTTTGTAATTGTGCAAGTTATCAAGCAAACCAAGAGAACCACATTTAACTATTGTGAAAAATATATTTTGGTATCTCAAAGGAACAATTTCGTTAGGATTATGGTATCCTTCGAAATCAGGATTTTTCATTCAAGCATTTTTCAGATGCAGATATGGGAGGGTGTAATCTTAATCGAAAGAGTACAAGTGGAGGATATCATTAATTAGATGGCAAGCTTGTAAGCTGGCAGTCAAAAAAGCAAACTTGTGTTACAATTTCAACTACTGAAGCAGAGTATGATGTAGCTGCTACTTGCACTTAGCAAATCATATGGATCCAAAGTCAATTGCATGATTATGAAATCAATAGAAAAAAACATTCCAATGTATTGTGATTCAAAAAGTGCTATACGTATTTGTCATAATCTAGTACAACATTCGAAAACTAAACATATTCCACTTCGTAATCATTTAGTTAATGATCATGTGGAAGATGGAAATATCGAAGTACATTTTGTAAAGACAATTGATCAGCTTGTTGATATCTTTACAAAACCAATGGATGAAAAATCATTAGTTAGAATTTTGACCGGATTGGGAATGATTGAAGCAAGTTCTTTTCCAGGATTAGTTTTGAATGAATGATATAGTGGTGTGAAGGAAATGTGTTGATTCAGAAGCAATGATTCATTGTCCAGAGGCAACTAGTATTAACCATACATAGGTTATTGTTCACGTTTAGCGCTTCGACACGCTTCGTTTTCAACATCAAGAGTGAAAACTTTTCATTAGTTTGGCAAATTTTAATTTTCTGAAAATGTCATTGTTAGTCATTTATTTTAGAAAAATTTTAAAAATACCAAAAAGATTTTCTCTTTGTTTTGTTTTTTGAAAAATCAAAAATACAAAAAAGATTTTACTTATGTTTAGTTTTTATATTTCGTTAAATTGAAAACTCCAAAAATATTTTCGTGTTAGTTTGTTGGTTGTTTTTCGAATTTTTGTTTCAGCTTAATGTGAAGATTATTTATTACTCATGCTTGCAATTCTAGGGTCAGGTATTCTTTCGAAAACTTTAAAATAGTTAGGTCGTCCCTAGAAGCATGTTGCAGCATGTCGACCCAAGCCTCCATTGACTCAATGTGTGGTGTCGAAATCCTTAATGAAATCTTCATTTACGAAAATTTCTTCCCAATCAGGCTTGTGTTCACATTAGTCCACTGAGCTACCTTACTCTTCTTAAAGGAGTTAAGAGTTTACTGCATGCTCTAAATATTGCAGAGGCACAATAAGATTCATAAACCAATCTTTTTCATCCCAAACTTCTAACATATTCACACACTATGAAATATGTCCAAGAGATCATTGATCAAAGAGTAAATTACACGAATGGTCCCTATGGTTTGGGGTAATTTGCGCGTTTGGTCCCTAACTTATTTTTTTAACTCGGAAGGTCCTTGCTGTTTGTTTTTGTTACGCGCTTGGTCCCTGTCTTACCTAAAAAGACTATTTTTCCCTTGATTTATTTATTTATTTAAATAAACACACCCCAAACTCCACCCCTCTCATCTTATTTTACCTACCTCAATATTTTTCTCTATTTAAATAATAATATTTTTAGATAAAACAGGGATCAAGTGCGTAACAAAAACAAACAGTAAGGACCAAGTGTGTAACAAAAACAAACAATAGGGACCTTCCGAGTTATAAATATAAATTAGGGACCAAACTCGCAAATTACCCCAAACCATAGGGACCATTCGAGTAATTTACTCTTGATCAAACTAATCAGGATTTAGATATATCAAAAATCTGTGTTCATGATTTGGATTCGTGAGACTGTGATGAAGGTGAAACCCATTTTTTCAAACCTTTTTAAGGAATTGACGGGGAACCATGTTCTAGATTTTCACGAAACATTTGTTTCAGTACCAATTTTTCGATAATCAAAATCATATTCTTTCGTTTTGAGAGATCTTGATCAAATGTTCGAAACCCACGACATTTGTTTCCCAACAGGATCCAGCTAAAATTTTGTTTTTATGAATATGATTTCCGCGTGAGTATCAATTTTTACCTTTTGTCACTTTAAAAAGTTATCCAAAGCATACTTGTCACTGACTACACTGGTCACACAAGTAATTTCTATTACAATTACTCACCTTATGTTTAGTGCTGATATGTAACGAACTTTCTTAAGCCACCAAATCATGTTTATGAAAAAAATCCCTTCAATACTTCTCAACAAGTATTCGATTGTAATTCACGGGAAACCACACAAGTTGTTGATTACCTCTCTTGATAATTAGTGAAGCAACCTTTGCCTGGGGTTTAACTACCTTTATGTCGAAAATTTATTTTTCGACATCACAGATCCAATTTTTTTTTTTATTTTGTTTCGTATCTCATTTTCTTGGCACACAGCACTCACAAAATCCTTGAGGTTCTACCAACTCATGCTGAAGATTTCACAAGTATGGCATATGACTTCGCTTCTTAACCCAAAAGTGAAAGAGCCTAACCTCCATTCCGAAGGTTTGTGGCGGTTGTTATTCCATTGGAGCAAGTAACCAGGCTGTATGAATACACGTTTTGTATTCTATCCAAGTTTCAAGGAGAAGTGGTGTTCACTTTTTCATGTGTGGCTAGTTTATTGGCGTATGGGTGCGGTTTCCAAGGTGCCACATCAACTTTCATTTAATGCTGATCCCACTTCAATTTCAAATCCAAGGGTCACCTATAAAAATGGGTTTCAAGGGTTCTTTACATGGTTATGTTTTCTACAAATTCTCAAATCATAAAAGAACTGTTTGATCGTTCATTCATTTTCAAACCCTAGTCATGGCTGATCCTGCACCATCTTAAACCATAGAAGATTTTTCTTCCCAACCCATCATGAAACTTCAAAGCAATAACTATCAAGTTGAAAGTGATGTTACCCTTTACCCTGAAGAACTCAAGATGTTGATCGTGTCGCTACAACATTCTTTTTTGAAGACGGCGATGTTTCGTTCTTTCACAGTTCTGCTGTCTTGGTTATCACTAGCAGGTTCTACGGCTACGTATAGCAAAACTTTAGATCATATCACCTTCAATCTGATCAATGAGAATAAGTTTCAGTTAACTAAAAAGTTTTTTTGTCAAATACTGGAAATCACCAACTCACCTCCTTTCTACAAGGTTGCAAATGAGCAGATGTTACACATGTTCAATGAGATGGGTTATCAACCCATCGTTACAATGATTAGTGAATTCAAGAAGTCCAGACTTCCATGTATTTGGATTTTTTTTGTTTGGCATTTGTCTACGCTGTCTTACTGGTCGTAATGTTGGTTTGGGTAAAGGGCGTTTAGAAGTATATGCTATGGTGGTTGGTATCTATTATGACCTTTCTGTGGATTATGCTACACATATGTGGAGGGAAATTATGAAGAGTGTGCAAAATACCAATGTCATATACGGAATTTCATGTGTAAGGTACTGGAGTTTGATTCTTCAATTCGCATACGAAAAGGAAGGATTTAAAGTAAAAGACGATGAAGCTATAGCCGAATTTTTGTAGTACAATTTTCCGAAGGTTGTTGAGGATAATGCTGAGGAATTCCCTAGTGTTGCTAGAATTATGGATGGTATGCTTAAGAAGGTGGATTCTTCCAATAAAATTCTATAGGAATATTGAAAATGATCAATCCCTCTGTTGAAACTTGCATTTTGTTGTCTCGAATTGAAGAGGGTCCATCTAAACAATCGAGACATTCGAAGAAAGTGGAGGACAGTCCTACGAAACCGGTTCAGGAGAAAAAGAAAACAAAGTCTCCAACGAAGAAATCAACAGAAGAAATTATTGTTACGAAGCCTGCGCCAAAGACTGATGACCCTTCTAAGGAAGTGGTTCCTTCGAAAACAGGAGTGTTCAAGCGACTGAAGAAAATTGCTCATCAACCACAAAGCTCTTTTGAAAGATCTCTAAGTTTTTTCTCCATCTATGGTTCACAAACCGAATGTTACGAGAAAATGAGTGGTAATTCGTGAAGTTCCTGTTTCATCTCACCTTCATCAAAGAAGCATCAAGCCGAAGATATGGCGAAACATATTTCGAGAAAGCAGAAAAAGAAGCATCGAAAATTGGTATTACATGATGAATCCAATGAAGATGAAGTTGTTCAGGATACACCAGTGACCACATCTCAAGTTGATACTTCAATTGTCGAAATGGTTGTGATCTCTTCTTCTGCTTCTTAACCAGAACCACTTATTGTTTCTATTCCATTAATAACAAATGTCGAAACCACTCTGTCACAAGGTACACCAATCATTGTTTCATCTATTTTCGAAACTTCCAACATAGATACTACAACTTCTTTATCTTCATTTGTAACTACTCCTCTTGATACACATTCTCCAACTTTCGATTATATCCTCAACTGACCCATTACTTCCTTATTTTCTTCCCAATATACCGACCCACTGGTTACTACTACATAAGTTCATCATTCATCTAATGATGATGAAAATGTTTTTGGAGGCACATTTGGAGATATTCAGTTTGATCCTAAAGAAGAGGAGATTCCTGACAACATAATACTCATTGGGAAACAATTCAAAATCTTGAATCAGATGCTTAATTCATTGTTGCAAATTAAATCTGATGGAGGAGGGAAACATTCAGTATCAAGTCTCAAGGTGGATCTTATGCTTAAAAAGCAAGCAGACCGTCTTCTTGAGGCCATTTCTGAAGTAGATCGAAATAATGAAGAGCGTGTAAAGAATCAATTGTCTATTTTTTCTTTTGACCTTCAAGAATTGAAAATGTTGAAAAAGAACATCATGTTTGATTTTTTTCAAGATATTAAAAAGGTAAGGGAGGATGTGTATTTGAAAGTTCAGGAACTTCGGGAAGATATGGGCAGAGAGATAGAAGTTGTGCAACAATATTACGCTTCTCTTAATCAGAAGATGAATATTATTGCGGATTATGTGACCAAATTTATCAAACTCTATGAATCTCTTGGTCCTAAGGTTGATTAAATGTCACATGATGAAGTTCAAAACTTTTCTGAAATCAACAAATTGTTGACTGAGTTGAAAGACATTGTTTCGAACCCTGGGTCCTCTCCTTTAATTACCCCAGAATTTTTGTTCCAAAAGTTTCTTCTTTTCGAAGCTGTTCTTCACAAACAGTTAGCCCCATTATCTCAGCTAGCAAGTATTCTACCAACAAATGGCCCACCTATTGTCACAGGGGTGCAAGGGGGAGAAAGGATGAATGTTGGTGAAGGGGCTTCTGGATAATATGGTGAAGAAGCAAAAGTGGTTGGAAAAGTCTTTGCAACAAATGTTCCCATAACAAAGCTAATCATATCAAAAGCTGACCCTGTGATTTCGACTGTTACCACTACAAGGCAGGTGTTAAAAGGCATAGTAATTGGGTCAAGTGGAGAAGGGAGTGTTTCAAAACCCAAAGAAATTCTAATAATACAAGATAATGGGAAAAATATTATAGTGGAAAATTAAAAGAAGAAAGAAAGGCAGAAATGGAAAGAAAAAGAAAGATTCAGAGCATATTGAGGCTTCGACAAAATGATCCTCCTCATTTAAACAAGGGAGATCCCAGGAAGTTACATAGTTACGAAAATATCGAAGCAAGGGTGGCTTACAATGAAATGCATGAATTTGAGAAGAAACCCGAAAAGAGTTATGATATCGAAACCTCAGATTTGAATCAACTTGACTTCCCAATTAATGAGATGATTTTCGTAACAACCCAATATAAAATTTTTGACAAGTTCAAGAATCCAGATGACTTCACACACCTGAAGCTTAGATTTCATGTTGTTTTGGGGAAAGAGCAGGAGGAAGTGTGGTCATATGTGAATATTGTTTAAGTCCTGAGTATAACTAAAGATGAAATGTTCAAAAACATGTTACAAAATTTTAAATATCATGTGGTGAGGGCTAACAAAGTTGCATGCAATTTCACCATTGCTGATTTCCCACTAATGAACTTGAATGATATTATTCAAGTTTCATATATTCTTAAGGAGTCAAATGAATCAAAGCTTCAGGGAACAAGCAAGGATGTGTTGAGATTGGGATTAGGTCATCTTAAAATTTTCATTGACAATTATGATGATTGTCTTGCTTTGACAGACATAGAGCTAGCTATGTCTTTGGGAAAAGAAGTTATTGTGCCTCAATCGTTGGTGAAAAAGAAGGCTGAATTGGTTTCATATGTTGATGGAGAAATATGCATGAAGCCATGTGGAATTATTTTTGTTGGAAAGAGCAAGAATGGAAGACAATCAAAAGTTTTGTTTCAAATCAATGATGTTGAAAGATACACAATAACACAATATACAAACTTAATTGTTCGTATGAATAGTTGTAAGAAGAACTCTGAAGAAGACAAGGCTGAAATGCGAAAGGTAATGAATTGGTATGCTAAAGTTCGGAAGACACCGCATAAAGCTGCTCAAGTGTTAATCAACTCACTTCGACACTTATTACAAAGGGGGAGATAGTTAATGTCAAAATTGGTGCAATGTGTCGAAGTGTATTCTAGCAGTGTCGAATAGTTTGTTATCTATTTACTAAGGCATTTATGTTTTGAAGTCTTGAAGTTTAGTCCTTAGTATTTTTTGTACTTTCAGTCCTCCTATAAATAGGGGTTGAACTTAGAGTTTAGATAAGAGTTTTTCCAAGTTCTCTATCTATAATACTCTTAGTTTCATTGAAACTAATATGAGCTGAAACCAGATTTTATTTAGATCTTGTATTCTTAATTCTTATTCACATTGATTCTATTTTAATACTCGATTAATCTCTTCTACAAAGACACTTTTATCGAAGAGAATTTGATAAAGTTTTATAAGAACCCATAAGATTTCTATTGTTTCATTTTCAATGTATAGGAAGAACTCGTAAGGTTTTTATTGTTTAATGTTTCGATGTACGGGGAGAACCCATAAGATTTCTATTGTTATATGTTTTGATATACGGAGAGAACTAGTAAGGTTTTTATGATTCTATGTTATTATGTGCAAGACACCCTTTAAGTTTTCTATTGTTTTATATTGATATATGGGGAAAAACTAAGAGTTTTCTATTACTCTATGTTTTATATATGAGAAGAACTCATAAGCTTTTTATTGTTTATTTCATATATGGGGAGCACATGTAGTCTTCTTATTACTCTATGTTTTAAATATACCTACATTTTATTTTGTTGATTATGGGAGAATCGTAACTTAAGTATGTTTTTCATTTGATTGTTTTATTGGTAAAGTTTCATTGAAAGCTGGAGTTTTGTTTTTTGAAAGTCAAGATTATGCATTGTATTTTATACTTGGATGCCTAAAGTTTGAAATGTGAAATAATTTTATCAAGTGATCGGAAATATAAGACTATCGAAATATTATTTGAAGTTTTATTACTTGTAAAGTCTAAAACTCATATAACTCAAGAGACCTTCCGTCGTACGTATAATTTTTTTTTTAAAATGCAACGTGTGTCTCAAGAATACGGAAGCAGTGAATTTAGAAGTATGGATTATTTGAAGTGTGTTGGAAGATAAATGGAGTGGAGTTTACATATAGATTCCTATTATGATATTGTGTAAATTCTTATTTGCTTACTATGATTGTATACTTGATATGAGCTAGTAACACATACGTTAACTAAAATGTTTTGAAAAATGTTTTTATTAGGACCATGTTTTTTAAGACACAACTCAATGTCATAATATGTCTTAAAGATTATTACATTTAAATTTCATAAAAATGGGGTGTTACAACTTTATATTGATTTCATTATCCAAACCTAAGTAACTAAGAACATATCTTTAGATGTGTTTAACAATATTTTAGTGGCATTCTCCTAGATTATGTTAAAATATTCTAGTCATAATGTGGAAACGTGCGAGAAATTAGGTCTAGTACATAGCATGGCATAAATGATGGATCTAATGATAGAAGCACAAGAAGAACCATGTTAGGTTTAATATGCATGGAACAAAGAAATAATTATGTTTGTTGTATATTGTGATAACCCGTTATTTTCAAATCTGTAAAACTAAAAAAAAGTCAACCAAGCTCAACAAAAGTCAAACTTGCTAAATAAAAGTCTAAGTTATTGATTTGTTAATTTATTAAAGTTAAACTAATACTTTATATATATATAGCCTTTAGTAAATAAGTGTTGCAAAAATATGAGTAAATTGCGAGGACCGAAACCCTCGGATTGGCTATTTGCCTCGGACCGAAAATGAGACTTCGGTCACGACCGAAATCAACTCACACTGAAAACGTGCGAGGATGCCTTTTGATCTCAGCCGCAAACATCCATTCAGACCGCAAATCTTGGACTGAAATCTCTTTTCCTTGGTTAGAGTGCTAGGCCGAAATCAGCTACTTTATGGCCGAAATCTCACAAACCGACTCCCTTTTTTCCTTCATACTTAAGCAACCAAAAAGGGATCATTCTTCACTTCTGCACTTCTAGTGAACGAGATTTCCTTCATTTCTCTCAAACCATACATAAATTTCTTTCATTTCCAAGAACTAAAACAACTTCAAGAAGCATTTTGCTTCCATTTATTCTTACAAGATTTGGTAAGTGTTTTATATTAATTAGTGTTAATATAACACTTTACTAATTATTTTACTAATTTAAATACATATCGTGTGTTAATATAAATTAGGATACAGTTGAATAATACGTATTCTAGCCCGGGAAATCATCGCGACAAAGTTGTACCCAACTAGAAACATGGACACGAGATGAGTTTATACCTTTACATTTTCATGATTTTTCACTGGCTTAGAATTGATAATTTGACTCCATTTCTTGTTCCTTATTTGGTTGTGAACATGGGGTAGAATTATTTATTCGTCTTTCTATTTAATCAAAATTTTATAAATATTATAGTTATATAAGTATAAAATAATTTTAAACTTGTTAAACAAAAGTATAATTTTTGCAAACTATTTTAATACCATTCGAGTATAAATATTGAATTTCATGGGACAACCGTA